CCATCTGAGCACAGACTGTGATGGAGTTCCTGTGGGCCCAGAAGGTAGGTGGGAGTGGGGGATGGCCGCACCTCCATTCACCAAGCAGGTGTGGGATATAAGAATAACAAGAGGAATGTCACACCTTTTCAGTCATGCAGGTCCAGGTCCAGAGTGTCCTTGGGGTTGCTGGAAAGCAGAACCTATTCTTAAGCCCCTGGATGCCATTTGTGAACATTCAAAATGGCGGCGCCCTCCGGACAGGCAAAGTCCACAGCTCAGCCCACATTACTCTTCACCCTCTCTGCTTATTCCCCAGCCACCAGAGCAGTCCTCCATGCAGGCCCTGGCTAGCAGGGCTGATTTTGAGGTTAATTCTTAGGTCCTACCACCATTCGGGAATATCCAAGCTGTCTGTGCCATCAGGATCGCTGCCAGACTGCAGCTCCGAATGTCTCCTTTTTTGGTATTTTCATGCAAATTCTTCTGCTAGTTGGGGTTTAGTCCACTTCTATATCCTTCCCTTCAAGGCTCAGGGGTCCGGATTATCTTCTGTGTCTGTGTTAATTGGTTTCCCTTTTCTTTGTTGAAGAGGGTCTGTGCAGTCTTTCTGCCTAGTCCGCCATCTTACTGGAACTTCTCATAAGGTTTTTAGTGCTGATTTTTCAGAAGTAAATAGCCAGTCCTCTCATAGTGTAGTGGTTACAGCATTTGGCTGCTAACCAAAAGGTTCGCAGTTTGAAACCATCAGCTGTTTCCTGGGAGAAAGATGAGGCAGTCTGGTTCCCTAAAGATTTACAACCCTGGAAATCCTTTGGGACAGTTCTGCTGTGCCCTAAGAGTCAGAACTGACTTGATTGAAGTGGGTTTATTTTTGCTTTTTTCCCTAAGGTGCATCTCAGTGGACTCAAACCTCTAATCTTTTGGTTGCCAGGTGAATACTTTAGCCATGTAACAGCTCTATGGGAGAAAGACCTGGCAATTTGCTCCCACACAGATTATAGCCTACAAACCCTATAAGGCAGTTCTATTCTATCACAAGGGGTTGCTATAATCAAAATAAACTTGATGGCACCTAACAACATTAACCATTTGCACCAGCCAGATATACCACTATTCCTGGTATAAAACCTAAACCAAACTCACTGCCACTGAGTAGATTCTGACTAATAGCAACCCTATATTCTTCATACAGTCATTCTTAGTTTTATAAACTGGTCTGCATAGCACACGGTGACAATGTAATCATAGCTGTGAACAGCAGAAACAGCAACTCTCCAAGGTGACTCATTCAAAGTGCTGGTCTGATACTGCTCTACAGGCAATGATTTAAAGTGACTTCTGGCCTATTATTAACTAACCAAGAGGCTTATGTACATATAGCACTGCACTGAGCATTATAACCAAAAAAACGAAACTTGTTGCCATTGAGTCAGTTCTCACTCACAGTGACCCCATGTGTTACAGAGCAGAACTACTCCATAAAGTTTTCTTGGCTGCAATCTTTACAGAAGCAGATCACCATATGCCTTTGTTCTGTGGTGCCACATCGGGGGTTCAAACCATCAATCTTTTAGGTTAGTAGTCAAGCACAAACTATATGTGCCACCTAGGGACCTTGAGGCACTTCAGAACTAGGAAAATAATTAAAAAAAAAAAAAAAAAAAAAAAATCAAGTAAATCTCCCATAGAAACTGACTGCTCTGGAGTTTATTTTTCTTTAGAAATCTGGACCATAATATTATTTCACCAATCTATATTTTCTTAATAACCACAGATGGCAATTTAGGAAATATGGTCTTAATCTTATGCGTGAATAAAAGACACAACCCTGGTTCTAGTCACAGTCATGTCAGGATTCTCTTCACTTCAATTTAACACAATAGCTTAGGCTTTTAAAAATGGCCTCATACAACATCCACTTACATACAACAATGTCAGTGTCAGTACCAAGAGAAATTGCCATCTTTAGTTTATTAAGCAACATCAACAATACAAGTTTATTCTAATTTTATTAAGAATACTTAAATATTATGTGATGTTTTCTTCTGTAACTAGTAATCGCATCTTCTCTGTATTTCTCTGAAGGCTAAACTATGAGAATTTTTATATACTATTAAATATGCAAAGGCACCCTTTTTCAGCCTATACCAGGACAGATTTAAAACAATCAGAATGTTTTTCAGTTGAAGTTCCCAGCACCATATCTTATAATCTGAATTATTTATGTAAAGAACTATGAAGGCATAGGAATGTTCCTCTGGCAAACTTATGTTACACAGAAAAAATATGTGCTAAAAATGAAAGCTTAGTTTACTCTTAATAAAATCCTGGTTACCTCCTTAAAGAACTTATTAATAGAAATCTGGAACCTTCAGTATCAGCTACTGATGGCATTAATTTAGTAAGTTAATTAATAAAGGCATCCCATTAAGTTTAATAGCATATGGTCAAACAACAATTACAAAAATCACAAGGACAACCACAAATCTTTCTTAAACACCGAACAGTGAACTGAAAACCACAATCAAGCATTTCCGCTTTATTAAATTGTTATATAAACATTCTGAGGCTGTGGTTTACCCTGTACTAATGAGGCATTCTGATTGATTTCTAGTGTTACAGAGAAAGATGCAAAACTGAGTCATTAACACAGCATTCCCTTGTGAAAAAAGACAAACCAGGATGATTAAAGCAATGTTGAAAGGACTGAAAACCCTGAAATTGGACTTAATTTTTTACCCTTTTATCTGTTTGCAAAGTCCATGTAATTCTTTACATATGTTAGTTTGTTTTTTAAATATCCCATGATGATTTTTCCTCTTTAAAAACATGCCAGTGGTTGAAACCAAGAAATATGTATCAAACCAGTTTGTACAGTGCATAGCAGAAAAGAAGATAAGACATAGTTCCAAGTTTCTAAGATAGAGCTCTATTTTCTTTAAAATAGTCATAAGCTTTTTAAACAATAAACTAGATCATGTTATTTTGATGAAAACTGAGCTTCAATCCCATAATGATCATCTCAATCTGTTAATGGGGAGGGCATAAACTTGGAGTGAAAATAATAGAGTTTTGATATTGGTTTTGAGACACAGTTTTGTGTTTTGGGGCATGACACTCAGATATTGTCATGTATTTAAGAAATAACTATCGAGAGTCTGCCATGTGGCACTTACTTTACTAGACCCTAAACGATCCATAAAAACAGAATCCCAAACATTAAATACCTGATGGTTTAGCAGGAAAGACTAAAATGTAAGAAAATAATGTAAGAAATGCTCTAATAGGCATATTAACAAGGTAAGCTGGTAGAACAGAGTTAAGAAGTCTTCAAAGAACAGGAGGCATCTGAATTAGCACAAAAGAGAAATAAACACAGCACCTAATGGGGTTGTTTTGAAGCTTAAATGACAATACACATAAAAGCGCCTCATCTAGCTAGCAATGGACATTAATTAAACTGGATTCCCTAATCAGAGTTCAAGTTCCCCAACTCACCGAGCATAGGAATAGTCTAGGCTGGCCTGATCAATCCTGTTCCTGAGGATTCCAATGTCAGCTGACACCATGTCATCTAAAGCCTGTAACTCCTTCTGGATCCGCTTTAGTTTCATGGTCTCTGCCTGAGTTCTTTTAGATCTAGAAAATCAGGAACATGAATAGAAAAATAAAAATCTTTTTAAACAGTGTATCTATACATAATTTAAGGGGAAAAAAAGCAAGATATTTTATATATATATAAATTAAGAGGACCTCTGGTAGCATAGTGGCTAAGGCACTTGACTGCTAACCAGAAGGCTGGCGGTTCAAACCTACCAGCCACTCCTCGGAAGGAAGATAGGGCAATCTACTTCCATAGTGATACTGTCTCGGAAACCCAAGAAGGGGTCGCTATGAGTCGGGGCCGACTCGATGGCACATAACAACAACCACCACATATAAATTAAGATTTAAAAATTGGAAAAATTTAAATAAAATAAATGCAGGAACATTTTGGCATGTCTTTCAGAGATTTGAGATTTTTTCCTCTTATTTTTCCAAATTTTCTACTAGTGTATTTCCAAATTTTCTACTAGCATGTATTATTTGCATATATAAGTATAAAAAAAAAAATTAAAAAAATCCCAATAAATAGTTCACCTGTGATTCGATATTCATTCTATAGGGAGAATCCCACTGTGATTGAGTCGACTTTGACTCACTCATAGCAACCCTATAGGACAGAGTAGAACTGCTTTCCAAGGCCACAAATCTTTATAGGAGACTGTTTCGTCTTTCTCCCTCAGAGCAGCTGGTGGATTTGAACTGCCGACCTTTTGGTTAGCAGCCAAATGCTTTTACCACTGTGCCACCAGCCCTCCTTGTAAAAAGAATATTAAAAAACCACATCTGTATTCCCTTTTCATCAGAACATCCAACACAGACTTCTGAATTTCTAGCCTTAAATTCTTCTTCCTGCTAAGCCCATTTTCATTTGTCTGATACTTAGCAGACACTGAGAACAGATGCCTACATTAACAAACATCATATCTTTATATGTCTGAAAACATATTTGGTTTTTACTTTCTTAGGACTCATTTCCCCAAACTTTTATTGCTTTGATTCATGTTCTCTACAGATAAAACTACAGGTCTTCAAAATTATTTGTGGGGCTCTAAATCAAACACTTTTTTCTTTCCTTGTTTAAAAGCACATCTAACCTCATTATCTCTCAGTCTCCTTTCCACCCTGTAAGTACAATATACATTTAAGAAACAGAACAAGCAAATACAAAAGCAAACCTTTCATCAAGATTTCACTCATTGTGAAATTTTACACACATTCTTGAGGTGGAAGAAAACCCTCATATAAAACCACTATATTGCAATTTACTTCAAGAATAAATTCTGCCCCTTCATGCTACTCAAAAAATTACTGACGGACACAACCCAATCACATCTAATTCTGTTCTGCCTGGTCATGAAATACCCAAGACCATTCTCCTGATTACTACTCCATTATGCATTTACATTTGCTTTCTGCCCAGGAAAGTTTACTTACCAGCATTATTCTAAGTACTTCACTGTCCATCACTGTCCATATTTCTCCCTGAATTAGTGCCTTCTGTCTTAAATCAAAAGCATTAAGGGAGTGAATGCTATACCTGTAAATTTCTTTATAAAATACCTAGTAAACAGCTTCTCTTCCATCCTCCAAACTGAGGATATGAAAATACTTTTAAAAGATCACTTGTAGGAAAAAACAAAAAAGAGGGCACTACTTTTTAATGTGTTGTTCCTTTTTTTAAAACATAGTAAGAAATTCAGCAAGTGGTGTATTTCCTATGCTTTATGAAAGATCAAGGTATATCAGCAGGAGGGAATGAAAACAATTATCATTTTCAAATACATACATTCCTCTAGAAGATAAAATTCTGAGTAACTCATAGCCATCTGTCTCTCTCAGCACGCTTCCAACTCCCCTAGAATTGCACCTCAGTCTCTCAATCAACAATAGTTTTGCCAGACCTTTCCAGAGACCTAAAAAGAAAATGCTATTGAGTACTTGTTTGCATTTAATTACTATTCTCAATCACAGGAGCTCTAGTGGCATAGTGCCTAAGGCACTTGACTGCTAACCAGAGGCTGGTGGTCCAAACCCACCAGCCACTCCTCGGAAGGAAGGTTGGGCAATCTACTTCTGTAGTGACACCGCCTTGGACACCCAAGGAGGGGTTGCTGTGAGTCAGATTCGACTTCATGGCAGTGGGTTTGTTTTTCTTTTGTTTATTCTCAATCATATAGTGCTGGAAGAGGAGTCCCTCAGGTTCATCTTGAGGGAACAGACCTTCAAAGAGATGGATTGACACAGTGGTTGTATAGTGGGCTCAAGCATAGTAACAAATGCAAGGATGGTGTAGGACCGGGCAGTATTTCTTTCTGTTCTACAGGGTTGCTCTGAGTTCGAAACAACTCAATGGCACTTAACAACAACAACATTCTCAATCATTGCCTCATTGACTAAATTTGATTTCCTAAGGCCAATGCAGATCAAACTACAAAGTAAGGGCAGAAATAGTGCGTGGGCAATGGAAGTGTAGCTTGAACAGGAATGTTTCTATTCAAGGTGCACACAATGACGGTGAAGAAATAAAGGAGCAAATATGACTGACACTGAGATGTGAGAGAAAACTGAATCTCACAGAGCACTGAGGGGGCCTTGTGCCATTAACAAAAGGTTAAATTACATCACATTATGAATGGGTGAAAAGTAAATTATTTATAAAAAAATGTCATAGGAAACACACTTAAGATTTGTGGGCGTATAAGTCACTTATGTGGAATACTTTATTGTGCCACATGACAGATGATTAAGGACTCCCTACATCAAAATTAAAACCTGCATTTGTTGCTAATTTACATATGTTGACAGCTATTTACTCCTTGCCTTATGAACGTATAGATGGTTAAAACTGAAAATACTGATGCTGGTCCTTAAGTTTCCATTGCATCTATATTCATCAATCAGTGTAACCTATGCTTAAAAAGCCCTCTTTAATTAAGAGGGCTTAATTTAAGACAGCCAGAATTTAAATATCAATAATAAAGCATAAAAAGCTTGCTTAATTAGCCTTAAATGGTTGTAGATCAAATATTGGTTTATTAGAACAGACATGGGAAAATAAATATTAAACATGACCTGACTACAGTTTACAAACAATCTCTCCTGGTCCATTTGCCTCACCTTTCTGCAATAGCCTTGGCCAAAAGAGCTTTCTTACGTTTATTTTTCTCTTCCATTAGTCGTTGTTCTTGTTGGAGGAGTTCCCAACGAGATTTTTCTTGCCTGAGGAGCAAAGAAAGTATAACAGTGAGTTATGAAAGACAATGCTACCCCATCCCATACCTGACTAGTCCTGGTCCCCTAAGTATAAAATTTAATCAATATTATTATGTATGTTGTTGTTGTTGTTGTGTGCCGCTGAGTTGGACCCGACTCATAGCGACCTCTCCTTGGGTTGCCAAGGCAGTATCACTACAGAAGTAGATTGCCCAACCTTCCTTCCGAGGAGTGGTTGGTGGGTTTGAACCGCCTTATGGTTAGCAGTCAAGTGCCTTAGGCACTATGCTAACAGAGCTCCTCAAGATTATGTATATTTTCTTTAAAATGTCCTCTTACAAGAAACCCATCTGTAGCTCGTTATTTTATTCTAATAGGAACAAAGACTACAATCTGAAGTAAAGGAAGCTTACATAAATTGGCTCTTTGAAATCCATTTTATATATATATATAATCTAGAACCGACAAACCAGAAGCCAGAGTACTGTGGCTTCTTTCAGGAGTACAAAGAAACTTATGTAAATTAATTAAGTATTATATGCTAAACAGAGATCAAACTATACTGGTCTATAGCTGATGTTGTGGTTGTTGTTATGTGCCGTCGAGTCGGACCCGATTCATAGCAACCCCTCCTTTCCGAGGCGGTATCACTACAGAAGTAGATTGCCCAACCTTCCTTCCGAGGAGTGGCTGGTGGGTTTGAACCGCCAGCCTCCTGGTTAGCAGTCAAGTGCCTTAGGCACTATGCTACCAGTGCTCCCCCTATAGCTGGTATCATCTGTTAAATTCTTACCTTTCATAGTTTTCTATAATGAAAGTCTCTACCACCTTAACATCCTTAAAACAAAAACCAATGTTTATTTCACATATATTCCTTCACTTTTCTCATTTCTTTCCAATAGTGAAACACTGTTAATTAAGACTTCAACGAGTGTGAGACTAAAGAAAAAACTCAAAGACCTGAAAACATGGAGTATCTCCCAATCCATTCAACTCTGAAAGCACAGTATTAAAATTTTCCATAAGTGCATGAATTTGATGGCATAGTGCCTAAGGCATTTTACTGCTAACCAGAAAGCTGGTGGTTCAAACGCACCAGCTACTCCGCAGAAGGAAGCCTGGGCAATCTACTTTCGTAAAGATTCACTGCCTTGGAAACCCAATGGGGGTCACCATGAGCTGGAAGTGACTCGATAGCAGTGAGTTTGAGTTTTAGCATGAACTTGATGTCAAATTAAGCTAATGGCAAAGCTATCAACTCCTACTACTGTCATCAATTATTATATCAAAAATCTTTATTTCCAAGCCTAGATACCACTTTAAAAACTTTTTCTCACCATTCTTACAGCCTCCACCTCAGTGCTGGTATTGGTCAGGTCTCATTTTTTACTACAACATCTTACTTTCATCACACTCAGCACTCTATCCCAAATGGTCTTCATTGCTAACAACTGGGTTTTCTCTAACCATTATTTTGATCTGGGCATCTCTCAGAGGCCTTGGTGGTATCCTGCTGTATCACAGAACTGCCTAGGCAGGCAGCTTATGCTTCCCAGGCCTTCTTTACTTCCTGAATCTACTACTATTCTCTGATCTATCCTCTGCTTCTCCCAGAGAACTCAGCATCTGTGAACCCTTCTCTAAGAGATATAGCTTTCCTAGTCTTAATATCTCAGAATTTCCCATTTTCAGTAAACAGTTCCTTAGATTGTATGTCTTTTATGAAAAACTTCCCAAGTACCTACATAGAGACTAATTTCCTAAAGACATTCCATCTAAATTGTCCAGCTCAATTTAAACTCATCTACCACCTATCTCAGGTCTTTGCCGGTAAACTAGACTTAAAGGTATTTAAATATATTTGCATGAACTTATTCAATGTTTGTTTCATAGTTTATGAAATTTTATCTCTTGTCAAAATAATTTCTTAGTTGTAAACCCCTTGTGGGTTGTTGTTGTTGTTGCTATGTGCCGTTGAGTCGGACCCAACTCATAGTGACCCCTCCTTGGATTTCCGAGGCAGTATCACTAGGGAAGTAGATTGCCCCATCTTCCTTCCAAGGAGTGGCTGGTGGGTTTGAACCGCCAGCCTTCTGGTTAGCAGTCAAGTGCCTTAGGCACTATGCTACCAGAGCTCCTCCCTTGTGGGCTGAGAACAATTAAAACTCATAGCACAGATCTGGATCAGCAGAGATTTAAAAAAAAAAATACTTCAGAGATTAGAAAAAAAATATAAAATACTTTGAAAAAGACTCAGGAAATAGAAAACAGAAACAAATGCCATCTTTTCTCCTCATGAGTGATAAATCAGGAGGAAACAAAGAAAGGCAATTATTAGAACATATACTCTAAAATAAAAAATTCTGATTACAAGAGTTTACAAGTCACAGGATGGCAAATTCCACAAAAATGTAGCTTAACTAAATTATATAGGTAAGTGATTTCTAATACAAACGTAACATTAAATATAGACTAAAAAGAAATCTAATGAGGCAAGTGAATTATGTAATTAGCACTTGCAATATCCTATACTCTCTTGCTTGACTGCCCCTTTTTTATGTCTCTTCACAAGCCTCCTTTTCTGGGGCCAAAAGAGACCCAGTCTGGAAGGGGAAGCTTGGTTCAAGAGAGACTATGCATATGAAAACTGCTTCTGGCTTATGGAGAGGGAACAGACTTTGTATCCAGACAGACTTACATGTGAATCCCAACCCTATTACTTATTAGTTGTGTATTAGCGTTAGGAAGATAATATCTTCTCTGAATCCTAGATACCTCATCAGTAAAGTGAAAATAATAAACATGCATTGCAAGGCTGTTGTGAGGACTAAATGACATAAAACACATAAAATGCCCAACAGTGCCTCCCATATAATACATTAAGGTGGTAGTTATCCTTCAAAAGTTTATTCATCAGATTTGTAGGCTTCAATATAAAATGGAGGAAATGTAAAAACCTGTATTTTCTCAAAGCACAATAGAAAAAAGAAGGTAAAATGGGGGAAAAAGCTCATGGATATATAGACTTACTAACAATTCCATTTTCTTTTTCTCCAATTTGCAATCTGGCTTTGGAGGCAGGACCTCAGCTTTTTTGTGGGAGTTTCCATCATGGGAATTCTCAAGCCCCTGTTCTCTTGGTTGACTTTCAGCAACCTGTTGTTTTCTATCACCAATAGGAGAGGTGACTGTGATCGGAGGAGCAGGAAAAGAAGGATGTGGTTTTTGAGTATTAAGTCTCTGTTCTGTTGCAGAAAGCAGTTGCTCTGGAGGTAATGAGGTTGATCCATCTTGAAGTCTAAGTTTTTGGCTTTGCTCTTGAAGGGCTTTTTCTCGCTGAAGCTGTTGTCGACTTTTGTTCACAGGGCGACATCGCTGTGGTACAAATGGATCTATATAAAGAGAAAGTGGAAAAAATTCCTTTCTGTGAGCAATAACAAAATCATAATTTCTCTAAGAGAATAAAGCATCAACATTATTAAACTGGTAAGAAACAATTCAAGAGGTTATTTTTGTTTTGTTTTTCCCTTCTCTATCTTGAACACCCTGGGAAAAACAGCCATCTTCTACAGTTTTAACAGTTCTCAGTTTGTACCGTGAATATTCAATAAAAACTGCCCTCGCTCTCAATTTATCTTCAGAGGAAATCAATCCGTTGGTATCAAATTAGGACTTTGAACACAAAGCAAGACTTGTTTTAACTTGATTTGATAATTGTTAAAGAGAATCAGCAAATTTTGAAAAAATTAGGTAATTAAAACTTTTGCTATATCTTAAATTTATGGCCTGGTTTCCTAAAACAAAATGGTGGTTGAGTTTTCAAATGTGTTTCTTCTCTCTTAAATTTTAACAGATTTTAAGGCAATTTGATATATAGATAGATGCTACTTATACAGTAACGTAATTGAGTCAAGTCCTATTTCTAGGAATGCCAGTTAATCCTAAATCCTTTTCCTTTCACCTTCCAGAATAATCCACAATTGTAGTCCCCAAGTCTAGTCAGCATCTACTTAACATATGTGAACTAATTTTAACAGTGGACTAAAAAGCAATAGAGGAAGCAACTGGAAGAAAATAAAAATGTATTACAAAACTAAATAAAAATACATCTTCTGTTATATTTTTTGGATTATCCATGCCAGTGTTAATTAACTGTCAGGGCTGAAAACTAGAGAATCTGACTCTCATATGATAGTTAATAAGATCTATACAGGTAGTCCCCGACTTATGACGGGGTTCTGTTCTGAGGACTCCATTTTAAGTCAGTTCTGGCCTAAGTTGAAAAGTTCAGGTATTTTTAGTTTTCATTATTATTGCCTTTTATTATTAGTATGTCTTTATGAATCTGATCTTTATTTTTCTTTAGAGGTTGGAAACATTACATATAAGCTTACAGAGATGATGTCATCAGTGAATCACATGCTATGACACTGTATGGAATACATATTACTAACAAGGTGTACAAAAAAAAACACAAAAATTATAATTATACTTCATCATAACTTGGATACATGCTGAGTCTGGGACTACCTGTAAATGGTATTCTCTATGAAATGAATGGGAAAGGAAATTAAAATCCTAGTAAATGAGTAATTTAAAAAGAACTTTTAATTTCTGATAAATTGCCTTGGAAACAAGAAAGTTCATTTTTTAAATTTCTCAACAGAGTTGCAAAGCTTTGGAATCATAGTCCTGATTTAGTTTTTGTCTAGCTTAATGACCCCTGGCAAGATAATTATTTAATATATCAGTCTCCTCATTTGTCCAACTGAGTGAAAATTACCTGTTTTACTGAACTCACAAAAGTTCGTGTAAGGGTTAAATTAAATATACTTAAGAAAAAATTTAACAAATAGAGCAGTACTATCAAAAATAAAATGTTATTAATTAGCCAGGATCACAAAGTACACTCCTGTACCTTGCAAGAGAAACCTATTCTTGACTTCTGATCGTTATTCACATCATCAGACGTGAGAGGGCCTGCTTACCTCCCAGTTCAACCCATTTAGCTGAATTATGTTGTTGTTGTTGTTATTTGCCATCGAGTCAGCCCCGACTCCTAGCGACCCCTCCTTGGGTTTCCGAGGCGTATCACTACGGAAGTAGGATTGCCCAACCTTCCTTCCGAGGAGTGGCTGGTGGGTTTGAACTGCCAGCCTCCTGGTCAGCAGTCAAGTGCCTTAGGCACTATGCTACCAGAGCTCCTTAGCTGAATTATAGTCTGTCTAAACTCCATACTGCAGTTTCCATTTTATTCTACATTTCCACAGAACCTATCTTACTGGCTTCCTGGTAAGGAAGGTCTTGCTACCACAATTAAATGCTCTGACCCAGTAGCAACGTACCACTTCCACTCACAATTCACTGTCCAAAACTAGTACATGGTCCTAAACAAACACCAAAGAGGCTGGGCATATGCCTGGGAAGGTACGGGAACCTGAAGCACTTGACAAATATCATTCAAGATTATCATCACTATTAATTTTAAAAGACTGGATAAATTCCAAAATGTTTTAAAATTTAATTTAAAGAGTGTATATGTGGCAAAAAAAGAGAAAGGAAACATGAAAATACCCCAACTTTCCAAATACATTTTGATTTACTGACTCAAGCCAATCAATAGCTACCTGTTTGTGATGTCTGGTTTATATCCTTTTTTAAAGCCCTGCTCCCCACATCCAAGACAACTATCATTCTAATCATGAGTTCATCAGTCCTTTGCTTCCCTTTAAGTTATACTGTATCTACCAACATTTCTTAAAAGTATTTATTTTTAAACTTCAGAGTATCACACAGCATTGCATAGGCAGTACCCTGAGTAAGAATGCAATCTGTTCCTCTGTCTTTAACAATTTGTAGGTTAGTCGGAAGGGGCATACAGTTCTTATTTACCCTTACTTTAGATCAGTGGTTAAAGCACTGCGCTGATAACCAAAAGGTTGGCAGGTTCAAAGCTACCAGCTGCTCTATGGGAGAAAGACAAGGCAGTATGCTTCCATAAAGATTTCCAGCCTTGGAAACCTTATGGGGCAGTTCTACTCTGTTCTGAGTCAGAATTGACTCAATGGCAGGGGGTTTGATCTGTCCTGAAATACAATCTGTCAATGATAGGATAATATTCATATGCCTATAAGAAAGATCAGTTAATGCTACCATTATTCAAATTTATGCCCCACGCACTAATGAAGATGAAGAAATTGAAAATTTTTACCAATGTCTGCAGTCTGAAATTGACCAAACATGTGATCAAGATCATTGATCATTACTGGTGATTGGAATGTGAAAGTTGGAAACAAAGAAGAATCACCACTAGTTGGAAAATATGGCCTTGGTGATAGAAATAACACTGGAGATCACATGAGAGAATATTGTAAGACCAACAAATTATTCATTGCAAATACCTTTTTTCAACATAAATGGCAGCTATACAAATATACCTCACCAGATGGAATACAGAGCAATCAGGTTGACTACATCTGTGGAAAGAGCCAATGGAGAAGCTTCATATCAACAGTCAAAACAAGGGCAGGAGCTGACTGTGGAACAGATCATTAATTCCACATATGCATGTTCAACTTGAAGATAAGGAAAATGAAAGTAAGTTCATGAGAGCCAAAATACAACCTTGAATATATCCTACCTGAATTTAGTGAGCATCTGAAGAATAGATTTAATGCACTGGACACCAGTGACCAAAGACCAGACAAGTTGTGGGATGACATTAAGAGCATCATACATGAAGAGGGGAAAAAAAAATCATAAAAAAGACAGGAAAGGAAGAAAAGATCTAAATGGATGTCAGAAGAGACTCTGAAACTTCCTCTTAAACTGAGAGTAGCTAAAGCGAATGGAAGAAATGATGAAATGAAAGAGCTGAATATAAGATATCAAAGGGCAGCTCAAGAAGACAAAGTATTATAATGAAATGTTCAAAGATCTGGAGTTAGAATATCCAAAGGGAAGAATGTGCTCAGCATTTCTCAAGCTGAAAGAAATGAAGAAAAAAATTCAAGCCTCAAGTTGCAGTATGAGCACAATATTGAATGATACAGGAAGCATCAAAAGAAGATGGAAGGTATACACAAAGTCACTGAACCAAAAAGAACTGAATGACTTTCAACCATTCCAGGAAGTAACATATGATCAAGAACCAGTAATACTGAAGCAGAAGTTCAAGCAGCACTGAAGGAACTGGTGAAAAACAAGGCTCCAGGAAATCATGGAATACCCACTGAGATATTTCAACAAACGGATGCAGTGCTTATTTGTGCCAAGAAATTTGGAAGACCTGGCCAACTGACTGCATGAGATTGATATTTATTCCCATTCCAAAGAAAGGTGATCCAACAGAATATGGGAACTATTGAACAATATCATTAATATCACATGCAAGTAAACTTTTGCTGAAGATAATTAAAAAATGTTTGCAGCAGTATATTTACAGGCAACTTCAGAAATTCAAGCTGGATTCAGAAGAGGACGTGGAATGAGAGCTATCACTGGTGATGTTAGATAGATCGTGGCTGAAAGCAAAAAATACCAGAAAGATATTTATCTATGTTTTATTGACTATGTAAAGGCATATAACTGGGAGGATCCTAACAAATTATGGATAACATTGTGAAGAACGGAAATTCCAGAACAGTTAAAATTGTGCTCATGAGGAAGCTGTACATAGACCAACAGGCTGTCACTTGACCAGAAGAAGGGGATACTGCACTGCTTAAAATGAGGAAAGGTGTGTGTGAGGGCTGTTATCTTTTCATCATATTTATTCAATCTGTATGCTGAGCAATTAATCTGAAAGCCTAGACTATATGAAGAACACAACATCAGGACTGGAGGATCACTCATTAACAACCTGCTATATGCAGATGACACAACCTTGTTTGTTGAAAGTGACAATGACTTGAAGTACTTACTAATGAATATCAAAGACTACAGTCTTCAGTATGAATTACATCTTAACATAAAGAAAATGAAAATCCTCATAACTGAACCAATAAACAACATCACAATAAATGGAGAAAAGGGTAGAGTTGTCAAAGATTTCATTTTGATTAGATCCACAATCAACACTCATGGAAGCAGCAGTCAAGAAATCAGATATCATACTGTACTGGGCAAATGTGCTACAAAAGACCTTTTAAAAGTGTTAAGAAGCTAAGATGTTACTTTGAAGACTAAGGTGCACCTGACCCAAACCACGGTATTTTCAATTGCCTTACCTGCATGTGAAAGCTGGACAATGAATAAGGAAGTCCAAAGAAGAGTTAATGCCTCTGAATTGTGGTACTGGCAACGAATACTGAAAATACCAAGGACTGTCAGAACAAAGAACAAATTTTTCCTGGAAAAAGTGAAAAATGGATGTTCCTCAGAAGTGAGAATG